TGTGGTTTGGACAAAACTCATACCCAGTGACCTTAATGGAACCCATCCTTCAAATTATTCAGAAGAAAGTCTCTCTCAGTGAATCCTGCTATCATATCAGGATGCAAAAGGGCCAATTTTAATTTATGTGAACATTTGGAGATTTGTCTTAAAGTTCTTTACAGTTACAAATTGCTGAACACTGTTTCATGTGGGAGTAAAAATCTCTGGGGATGGGCCAGAAATGTCTGGGATTTACTTGTAGGGGCACCGGGGACTCTCTGGATCCAGTGTGAATATGGAATTGCATTGAAATGTTTTGTAACAGGCTAGCGCAGTATGGAGTGGGTCTTGTTGAACCTGTTATTGAAACATAAGGATTGAGAAACGGGGCTGTGCTTGAGGTTTTTCAAGTCTCTGATGTTCCTTGACATTCATTGGGTTTGATTTGCTGACATCCTCTTCTAGATTTTGCAAATTAAGTCATTGCATCATTGAGAAAGTGATTTATCCAGAGGTCTTTAATAAATTGTAATTTGCTGCTGAAGTGGTCTTTCGTTTAAAAAAAAATCAATGTGTCCCCAAAATGAAGAGTTAAAAGGAGTATTGTCCTTTTCCTTGCCAGTGTCTTCTTATTGTTAGTGGTGTCTGTCAGAGGTGCCAGGTGCCCTTGGGCCTGCGATTTTTTTAGTGCTCTTCTGGCAGAACATTTTTATTTTCTTATTCTTTTCACTTAGTTTGTACTAAGTGAATCAGTAATACTAAGTGAATTAGTAATGAAGTGATCTAGATAAGGGGATTATCAGAGCCTTCATGTTTTGGAGTGTTAGAGCTAGAAATCAAAAAGAAGAACACAAAAAGATTCTAAGTTTGGGGCATCAGTTTAGTTTGAAAGGATAGTTTGGTATGAGAGGAATCATCTCAGTGAGAGAGAAGATAGGGAAACTGGATTAATAAATTCTTGTGTTTAATTTTAAAAAAGAAAGAAATGGGATGAACATGTCAATTAGCTGAACCGTAGCAATCATTTTGCTATGTATATTTTAATTAAAATATCATGTTGTACACCTTAAATTTTTACAACATTTATTAAAAATAAAACAAATAAAAGGAATGCACATAGAGCGACGCCTGGGTGGCTAAGTCCCTTTAAGTGTCTGATTTTGGCTCAGGTCATGATCTCATGATTCATGTGATTGAGCCCCATGTTGGGCTCTGTGCCATGAGCACAGAGCCTACTTGGGATTCTCTCTCTCCCTGTCTCTCTGCCCCTCCCTGCTTTCTGTCTCTCAAAAACAAAAAAAAATAAATTAATAAATTAAATAAATAAATTACATTTTTTAAAAAGAATGTACATGGAGTAAAAGAGTGTAATCAGTGACCGGACATCTGCTTATGATCTTTCTGAAAAACATAACTACTATTCTCCACCACCACCTCATGGATGCGCTTTTCCCTGGTGTCATTTCGCTCTTGGTTGGTTGTTCTTATGGGACGATTTATTCTACACTCTCAGTGGCCAGAATGGAATATAATGCTCATGTCTGCTAGGAGAACCAGGAATCACTGGAAAGCAGCATGTTTCCAGCAAGAGACTTCAAGATGTGCCTCAGGTAGCTTATTAACAGCGCAAGAATCCTGTCAGAAGTACAGGCCTGGGGGAAATATTAAAAGGATAAAGGCCAGCCTAAAGGTAGGGTTTCTAGTTCCCAAGTCCCAGCAAAAAGAATATAGCTACTGCAGCCATTGTTACTCTGGAAGACTATAAATGTCTAAGGGAGCTCAAAAGGAAGGAACACATAGTAAAAAGTATGCCACGTGAAAGGTATATCCATCAAGGTGAATCAATTGACTGATGCTCTCTACCTCACAGAGATCTAACAGGAGGGAAATCATTTATTTCGTAAAGAAATACAAGGCAATGACTTTATGGGACGCATTGCCTCCCTCCTGGGAGGAGGTTGGAGCAGTCCTTGCAGCCATAGTGACTGACTGGTGTTGCACTACAGGCTGCTTGTGCTCAGTGTATCCCATTGTTCAGGACCACGCACGCCTTTGCCCGGTGCCGGGAGTGTTGGAGGCTGGCGGCTTGCTGCAGGAAGCTGCCTGGCTCAGGATCACATCCTTCTATGGTGGTTAGCTCCCATCTATCTTCTCTGAAGGCTCCACACCTTTCCCTCAGCAAGGAAGTGCCCTCCCACCTCCAGTGGGATCCCATAGGGATCCACTGAAGCCTTGGTTGACTATACAGGTGTTGCTTCCAAGATCACACCACAAAAACCTTTCTGCCCTCAACCCTCCATCTCAGAGTCTGCTTCCCTGAGAACCAAAGTGCATATATATATATATATATATATATATTCTGCTTGAAATGTAAGAAATGCTTTAGAAAGACCAAAGTAACTAGCCCTGATGGGTTGATAGAGCAAAAGTATTGGCACAGGTCAGAAAATAGATGGCAGAGCTGAAGCCTCAGTCTGACAAGGGATGCCACGCCTGAGCAATTTACATTTGACTCACCCTCCGTCCTAGTAATAATTCTGAAATGGTGCTAATTTATTGTGCACCAGTTACCTACAGCTTGGGAGCAGGTAGATTGGTGATAAGAGTTTCTAGAACAGACAGCTGGTGTCAGGGAGGGGCTGTGGGGAACCTTGGGAGAATGGCCAAGAGGAATCTGCTTTCTCATCTCAGTCTCCCATTTTATTATCAGCTCCTACTAGCTTTAAATGTTTCTATAGTCTTTGCCACTTAAGAACCTGTACATCCTTACAACTATATCTGTGGACATCTTTTTGCAACATAAAATCTTTCCACTGTGACGGGTGGGCCACTACTATTCTCATGTCTGACAAAATTAGAAATCTGAGATTACCCTGGTTTCTTCCCTTTATCCTATTTTCTATACCCATGGCCACCAGGTCTTGTTGATTCTACTTCCTAAATATCTTTATAATTCCCTTGTCTTTAATCCATCTACCTCTTCCCCAGTTTAAGCATAAACATCTCTTTCCTAAAGTATTACAAGGCTTTTTAAATTGTCACTTTGCTTCTAGTCTTGAATTGGAATTCCATCTCTTACATCTATTAAGTTCTCTAAAGTTCTTCATTTTCTTCTCTCCCTTCCTCTTTTTTCTCCATAGAACTTCTTTAGGAGATCTCATCTACTTCTGTGGCTTTGATGTTGACACACTCAAAATATCAAGATATGTTAAAGATCCCACAATATCCATCTAGGGCTTTTCTCTGAGAGTCTAGACCTTTAGATCTGCCAATTCTCAGCCTGTCAAAAAAAAATTGACCATTTTCCCTTCCAATTGGATCTTCCTTCTCTACTCTCCATTTCAATGAATGCCACGGAGTTCTTTATGCCCAGCTGTCTAAGACATAAACCTAGGTGTGGCCTTTGATTTGTCCAACTCCCTAATTCCCCAAGTTAAGCCAATCATCCCTAACTCCATCTTCTTTAACAACTCTTGGTCTTATCTCTTACCACCACTCCTAGTATAACTACTACCTTGGTCTTGCCCCAAGGTCTCATCTAGCTTTTTTTTAAAGCTGGATTTCTGCATCAGCCTCTTAACTAGTTTATTGGTCTGTGCCGTCCTCCTGCAATCCCTTCTTCATAAGCCAGTGAACATGGTCTTTCTAATCTGCAAATCTGCATTCCTCTGCCTGAATTCCTTCAATGCCTACCCATTGTTCTTATAATAAATATCTTTGGATTATAAAACCCCATTATAGTCTGGTCTCTACTTGCCTCCCAAACAATCTTTCTCCCCACATACTCCCACTGTCACTCACAATAGTCCAGTCATTGGAATTCCTCGGTTTCCTGAATGTACAATGCTTTCTCTTACCTCGTTCATGTCATGGTTTCTTTCCCTATGTTCTTTGCTTTAGATGTGTTCAAGTCTCCATCATGTGGAATGATCTCTGCCCATAATTATCATAGTATTTCCAAGCAATTTTTAGAAAAAAGGAATTCAGCGCATCATAAATTATTTGAACAGATTTAGAAAACATGTTAGGAAAATGCAGGCCCTTTGCAGATCTCTGAATATTTTCCAGATTGTCCTGATAGCTCTGTAGACTTCTGAGGGCTAACTATCAAAAGTATCTAGATTAGCGGTTCTAAATTGGAGTGTTTTTGCACTTCATGATGCGTTTGGCAATGTTAGCGGCATGTTTGACTGTCAAAGTGTGTGGTAGAATGCTAATTCACTGATATGAATAGAGGCCAGGGATACTGTTAAAAATTCTACAATGTACAAGGCAGCCTCTCACATCAAAGAACTATCCAATCCAAAATGTCAAATGGTACTATAGTTGAGAAACTTTGACATAAATGAACATTGAAATATGACATAAATTCATATTTCACTCGGGAACACTTTTCTATTCTAGCATAGAACATAAACAATACTCATCTTGCAACAAGAAGACCAGCATACCATCCTATCCAAATGGCCTTGCCCTTATATTTTGATTCTCTCATTTCTTTAAAATGGTATTTTAGGGGCCCCTGAGTGGCTCAGTTGGTTAAGCATCTGACTTTTGTTCAGGTCATGATCTCCCAGTCTATGAGTTCAAGTCCTGAGCTGGGCTCTGTGCTGACAGCTCAGAGCCTGGAGCCTGCTTTGGATTCTATGTATCCCTCTCTCTCAGCCCCTCCCCTGGCCACAATCTGCCTCTCTCTCCTTCAAAAATAAATAAACGTTTAAAAGTGGTATTTTAATACCTATCTCATGGGATTGTTAAAAAAATTAAATACAATAATGTCTGAGAAAACCCTTAGTTCAGTATCTGGTGAATAGTAGTTGTTCAATAAAATACTTAAGAAAAACACAAGTCCAACACATGGGGGTGTGGGACTTATGTGGTGGAGATGAACAGAATTTACCCTGAATGGTTTCTGAGTGCATCACTCTTTTTAAGATCTGTACATGTATCACCACTTCTGAGAACACTTAACAGAAGAATACGCATTGACAAAGATCCAAGGACGTACACATACATACTTTTTGTTCTTCTCGCTCTATGGCTGCATTGCACTTTTCTATTCCAGAATTCCTTAGAAAGTCTCTGAAATAGCCAAATAGGGTTCCAAGTCCATATCCCAAGTAAGTGAAAACCATAACATGAAGAGGTGCTTCCTCAAAGGATTCAACAATTGGCTTATGGTAAAAATGTGGTTTCCCATTTTGCTGAAAAAACAAAAGAAAATAGAAGGTTAGTTCTCTTCCATTGCAATAAAATATAATACTTAAAATTCTGGACTTTCAAACTTTTAAATTTTGAAGAACATGCTTGAGATCATAAAAAAATTGCTTAGAGAAAAGTGGAAATTGATAATTAAAGAGGGTAATCAAAAAGGTATATTTTATTTTACAACCCCCTAATAAAATAATTGATTCAGGCAAAAATTCTCAACAGATGCTAAATCCATTCTCAACAGATGCTAAATCCATTAAGGGAAACGTTAATGAGGAATATGGTTTTTGCAAGATGCCAAAGTATCACCCTGTAGTTACTCCCTAATCACAAATCTGAGGTTACTGCCTTGATCAGGTGATCAAATTACATCACCAAGGTTGGAACAAGAGCATCTGTGCTCTTATAAGAATGTAATACTCAATATACTAATGATTTAGCCTGAATTTAGTCAAACTTTTATATCTAATATCCATTTGACAAGAAATATCAGGGTAAGGGAATGTGGTCAATGACTTAATAAGGAAACAATCAGATAATCCACAATGTGCACAGCAAAGGAAATTAGCAACAAAATGAAAAGGCAACTGATGAAATAGTAGAAAGAATTTTCAAACCATATATACGACAAGGGGTTGATATCCAAAATAGATAAGGATCTCATACAACTAAAACCCCTCATAAACCATACTTAAAAATGGGCAAAGGAGGAGTGACTGGTGGCTCAGTTACTTAAGTGTCTGACTCTTGATTTTCAGCTCAGGTCATGATCTTGTGGTTCATGAGATCGAGCTCTGCATTGGGTTTCATGTGCTGACAGCGTGGAGACTGCTTAGGATTCTCTTTCTCCCTTTCTCTCTGCCACTCCCCCACTCATGATGCTCTCTGTCTTTCCAAATAAATAAACTTAAAAGAAATGAGCAAAGGACCTGAATAGACATTTTCCCAAAGAAGACATACAATTGGCCAATAAGTATATGAAAAGATGCTTAACATCACTAATCACTAGGGGGATGCAAATGAAAATTACAATGAGATACCATCTCACACCTATTAGAGTATGGGTACTATCAAAAAGAAAAAAATATAACAATTGTTGGTGAGGATGTGGAGAAAAAGCAACCCTTATACACTGTTGGTGGGAATATAAATTGGTAAACCAATATGAAAACATCCAGCCCATATGGAGGTTCCTCAAAAAATTTTTAAAAAGAGAATGACCACATGATCTAGCAATCCCACTTCTGGGTATATATCCATAGGAAATGAACTCAGTGTCTTGAAGAGGTATCTGCACCTTCAAGTTCATTCCATCATTATTCATGATAACAGGAACAATCTAAGTGTCTATAGATACATGAGTAGATAAAGACTAGAGTATTGTGGAATACCATTTAGCCACAGAAAGAAGGAAATCCTGCCATTTTCAACAACATAGGTAAACCTGGACTACATTATGTTAAATGAAATAAGCCAGAGATAGAAAGACAAATACTGTATGATCTCATTTATATGTGGAATCTAAAAAAGCTGTACTCACAGAAGCAGAGAGTAGAATGGTGGCTAGAAGGGGCAGGAAGTAGGGGAAAGGGGGAGGTGTTGGCTAAAGTACACAAATCTTCAGTTATAAGATGAATAAGTTTTGAGATCTAATGTACAGCTTGGTTACCACAGTTAATAATATTGCATAGTATATTTGAAATTTGATCAGGCAGTATATCTAAAGTGTTCTCATCACACACAGAAAAATGGTAACTAGGTGAGGTGACAGATGTATTAATTAGCTTGACTGTGGTAATAATTTCACAATGTTTACATATAGCAAATAAAATTGTACACCTTGAATGTATACAATTTTTATTTGTCAATTATACCTCAAAAAGCTGGAATAAAGAAGAAAGAAAGAAAAAGAATGGTCAGTGGTGGAGGGGACTTTAAGAGACACAACCCAGTGCAGTGCGTGTTCTTTCATCGGGTCGTATTTTGTTGTTGTTGTTGTTGTTGTAAAAACCTGGTAAAAAATACGTATTTTGAGCAACCATGTAAATCCAAGTGTGGACTGGATATGTATCTTATTAAGGAGTTATTATTAATTTTGTTAGGAACAACAGTAGTATTAGAGTTCTGTGGCAAAATGTTTTAAACTTTGTGGTAGATGCTGAAGTATTAGGGGAATGAAGTGTTATAACACCTGTAATTTCTTTCCAAAATTAAATATATATGAAGCAATTTTGGGAAAATGTTAATAACTATTGAGTTAGGTGGAGGTTATATGACTGTTTGTTATTTTTTAACTTTTGTGTGAGTTTAAATTTTTTATTGCAGAAAGTTATAGGAAGTATTTCTTGATATTAGATGTCAACATTCCAGTGGAAAGTACTTTTAGTACCAAACCATCCTGATTCCTGCTTAGTTGATTTGCATAAAGTAGCATAATAAATATTGGTTCAATAGATTAGTGAGTAAATTATTACTAAGAATAATATTTAATTACATTTTAGTCTTTAATAAATATTTATACATTCGTTCTTTCATTCAACAAATGAAATGATGTAATGCATAGATTCTGCATTTCTGAATGAGAAGTATTTTGACTACTTGGCATATATAACATTTAGTGACTTACAGGAAATTGTCAAATGTCTACTAATATTCAATGCATTAACTTAATTTACACATATATGTTTAAATGATGCATATATGACATCATGTTAATTAGAAACGTTCTTTTTGCTACTTTCATAATCTTTGTTGTAACTACAAGCACTGTCTGATTCCATCAACACAGTTTTCTAGAGCATGTCACCTTCCTTTCTTCTATGTTGTTTGAGCTACAAAATTTTGGGGCTCTCTATGTGACTTAGTCACTGAAAGTTTTATCCCAGGCCACAAAATATATGACAATCAAAAAGTCTATTTGTAGGGGCACATGGGTGGCTCAGTTGGTTGAGCATTCAACTCTTGATTTCAGCTCAGGTTGTGGGACTGAGCCCCGTGTCAGGTTCTGCACTGAGGATGGAACCTGCTTAAGATTCTCTCTCTCTCTCTCTCCCTCTCTCTCTCTCTCCCTCTCTCTCTCTCTCTGCCCCTCCCCCCACTTGTGTGTGCACTCTCTCTCAAATAATAATAATTTCAATAAGTATATCTGTAGATGAATATGTCATATCTCTACACAACTTGTTTTTAAAAAATCTTTTTATAATGACATTGAACACTTAATTTGTTACATCAAAACGCTATGACATATTATTCCTCCTTATTTATCCATTATATCAGTTACTTCTCTAGATACCCCAAACTAACATGGATGGATGTTGCTCTTATCTCATACGTCTTCCCCAAACATTACCTGGTGGTTTCAAATAATGACACTGTGAAAGCATTGCTTAATATGAGGTCTTGAATAAGAGGTTATAATCAATGCCTTGAATTTGGGATTACAGGTCATTCAATAGGTGCCTACTGTGAGCTGACTATATGCTAGGTTCTGGGGATTCAAAGATGAACTAAACAGACCAGGCCCCTGGCTCCTGACTTCTTGACTTCCTTCTCACTATGTCCTCACGTCAGTCCTGTAGGTTTGACGGACAGCTGATCTTACTGTTGCAGTGCCAGCCTTTGGCTCCTTTCCCTGGTTTTGTTCTGTGTTTGACCTTTGGGTTGAATCTGTCTCCTGAATTCAAAGAGACCTCCTGAATCAGTTAGGAACCATCTCCTGGTTCCTTCCACATCACTGGGACACACAATTAGCTTCCTTTCTTCCTGGATTTGTCAGATTCCAGAAAAAGGGACTGAGATCCTCATGAAGGAGGATTCAATAAACTTTTGTGACCTGTTGGTACATGGTCAAGAAAGAGGAAAATGAAAAGTTCCGTAAGGAGCATTATGGTATTGTTGATAAGAAGACAGAGGAAATTAGAAGGAAGTGCTGCTTATGGGGGAAGACAACACTGAGTTGGAGGTGGTTATGGCTCTCAGAAATGGGACTGTTTGACAGGCAGTTAGAGATGCAGGGAAAGAGAGAGGCCCTGGTTGAGACAGAGTCAACTACTATGAGGCACAATTTAAGTCATGATTGAAGGTGACTGTGATAAAGGACAAATTATAAAGAAAGAATAACACTAGGTTTGAGACAAAATTGGGGACCATAGGGAAAGAAGGGTGAATGAAAAGGGCCAAATACAGGTGGCTTCCAGAAAACTGATTTAGTCTGTTCACAAATTAACCACTTTGGTTGATTTCAAAGATGGCTAAGTTATGTAGCCCCATGTAAAAAAGAAAAACTTCCAGGCCATCCTGTGAGGATCAGCAGAAGATTTTCCCTTTTTCTGGCCCTTTTCTGGCCCTATATCCATTTCTGAGATCCACATGTGGTCAAATCAAGCAGCACGTTTTCCCTGAAATCCATGGGAACTTTCTTGCTTACTTTGGCTCTGAGGCAAACCTGCACTGCACACAACGGTCTGCCTAGATGCAAAAAACACTCTCAGTTGGGTGCACAGCCTGGGCTTGTGTAACTACCTTTTTTTTTTTTTTTTGCCCCTGTGACTTGTTCTGGAAGAAAGTTATAACACAAAGAAGAAATTTTCAACAATGCCCATCAACTCCAACCAGTATCTATTTTATTCTGTCTCATCTAACTTGATTTATGTAATTTAATTTAATTTAATGTAATCTTATTTGGCAGAGAGAAAATGGAAATATACAGGTCTTAACAGATGGAATGCAACTCATTTACTATATCCCTTTATTTAAGATTGGAGTCCATCATAGGTCTTGGGAAAGATTTCTCAGTCTAGGCTTGGATAGTTATTCTGAAATACAAGATTTTGTCTTTTCAAAGTAAATGAAGCATTAAAATCTTGCTTAATAAGTTTTCTGGCCAAAGGCTGATACAGCATGGTAGTCTGTAATGTGCTTTCTTTCTCTGTGCTACCTTTTCCTTCACAGCCTTGAAAAGAAATAGATCCTGAGCCACCTAGCCCAGAGCACC